CTGACCCACTGGGAATGTGATGAAAGCAATAAAAGCTGAAATAAATCTCTCTACTATTATTCTGACATTTCACATTCTTAAAATAAAGTGGTGATCCTAACTGACCTAAGACAGGGAATTTTTACTAGGATTAAATGTCAGGAATTCTGAAAAACGGAGTTTAAATGTATTTGGCTAAGGTGTATGTAAACTTCCGACTTCAACTGTTTATGTACAGTTGAAGTTGGAAGTTTATTGACACCTTAGCCAAATACATTTAAACTCAGTTTTTCACAATTGAGGTCAGGGCTTTGTGATGGCCACTCCAATACCTTGACTTTGCTGTCCTTAAGCCATTTTGCCACAACTTTGGAAGTATGCTTGGGATCATTGTCCATTTGGAAGACCCATTTGCGACGAAGCGTTAACTTCCTGACTGATGTCTTGAGATGTTGCTTCAATATATCCACATAATTTTCCTTCCTCAAGATGCCATCTATTTTTTGAAGTGCACCAGTCTCTCGTGCAGCAAAGCACCCCCACAGCATGATGCTGCCACCCCCGTGCTTCACGGTTGGGATGGTGTTCTTCAGCTTGCAAGCGCCCCCCCCTTTTTCCTCCAAACATAACGATGGTCATTATGGCCAAACAGTTCTATTTTTGTTTCATCAGATCAGAGGACATTTCTCCAAAAAGTACGATCTTTGTCCCCATGTGCAGTTGCAAACCGTAGTCAGGCTTTTTAATGGCGGTTTTGGAGCAGTGGCTTCTTCCTTGCTGAGTGGCCTTTCAGGTTATGTTGATATAGGACTCGTTTTACTGTGGATATAGATACTTTTGTACCTGTTTCCTCCAGCATCTTCACAAGGTCCTTTGCTGTTGTTCTGGGATTGATTTGCACTTTTCGCACCAAAGTACGTTCATCTCTAGGAGACAGAACACGTCTCCTTCCTGAGCAGTATGACGGCTGCATGGTCCCAAGGTGTTTATACTTGCGTACTATTGTTTGTACAGATGAACGTGGTACCTTCAGGTGTTTGGAAATTGCTCCCAAGGATGAACCAGACTTGTGGAGGTCTACAGTTTTTTTTCTGAGGTCTTGGCTGATTTCTTAGATTTTCCCATGATGTCAAGCAAAGAGGCACTGAGTTTGAAGGTAGGCCTTGAAATACATCCACAGGTACACCTCCAATTGACTCAAATGATGTCAATTAGCCTACCAGAAGCTTCTAAATCCCTGACATCATTTTCCGGAATTTTCCAAGCTGTTTAAAAGCACAGTCATCTTAATGTATGTGATACAGTGAATTATAAGTGACATAATCTGTCTGTAAACAATTGTTCGGAAAATTACTTTTGTCATGCACAAAGTAGATTTGTTAATAAGAAATGTGTGGAGTGGTTGAAAAATGAGTTTTAATGACTCCAACCTAAGTGTATGTAAACTTCCGACTTCAACTTTATTTATATGTATGTATGTCTGTGCATATGTATGTATTTATATATATATATATATATATATATATATATATACACTACCGTTCAAAAGTTTGTGTCACTTAGAAATGTCCTTGTTTTCGAAAGAAAAGCAATGTTTTTCTCCATTAAAATAACATCAAATTGATCAGAAATACAGTGTAGACATTTACATTTACATTTTAGTCATTCAGCAGACGCTCTTATCCAGAGCGACTTACAGTTAAGTGAATACATATATATTTTTTTGTATTTTGTATTTTTTTTTTCAAACTGGTCCCCCGTGGGAATCGAACCCACAACCCTGGCGTTGCAAACGCCATGCTCTATCAACTGAGCTACATCCCTGCCGGCCATTCCCTCCCCTACCCTGGACAACGCTAGGCCAATTGTGCGCCGCCCATGAGTCATTGTTAGACATTGTTAATGTTGTAAATGGCTATTGTAGATGGAAACGGCTGATTTCTTACGGAATATCTACATAGGCTGACAGAGGCCCATTATCAGCAACCATCAATCCTGTGTTCCAATGGCACATTGTGTTTGCTAATCCAAGTTTATCATTTTAAAAGGCTAATTGATCATTAGAAAACCCTTTTGCAATTATGTTAGCACAGCTGAAAACTGTTGTGCTGATTAAAGAAGCAATAAAACTGGCCTTCTTGAGACTAGTTGAGTATCTGGAGCATCAGCAATTTTGGGTTCGATTACAGGCTCAAAATGGCCAGAAACAAAGAACTAGCTAACGTTACGTGTATGATCTGTGTAGTAATATTATCGTATCTCAGAGCCATTTGCATTGCTAGTTATAGCCTAATGTTAGCTAGCTAACATTGAACCTGGATGGTTAGCTACCTGCAGATTCATGCAGGATAGTAACGTTATGAGTTGGGATTATGGTTCATTGTTTAGCTAGCTAGCTACATGTCTAAACAAAAGACTCCACTATGCAAGTAACTATTTCAATAGAATGTTTATGATGTCACTGCGACAACTGTCGATAGACGTAGCTGGTAAATACGCTCTGGCTATCTACTCCGATTTCAGAGCACTCTCGTCTGAGTGTGCCAGAGTGCAGAATAACTGCCAAATTCACAAACGTTCAACACCCGTTGAATATGGCCGGTGTCAGTAAACGTTGGCAAAAAAGCGTAATTAAATTGTTGCCAGCAGCACAGATTCTGTCACCAATGCTCTGGATAACATAAAAACAGCCTAACAAGCCCTTCTAGGGCGAGTAAAATGGTCAGAGTGAGCTGTTCTCTCATTTGTGTCTGGAAGTAGCTAGCAAGCTAGCCAAGTTAGCTTGGGATTTTTTAAAATCATATTGGTCGCACACCTCATGTAGCCTAGCCTATAGACCTATATGTTTTGATACGGTTTGTATCACAACTAAAGTGGCCAAATAATTTTTAAAAAGAACTTAAGCACATTAATATGCTTTACAACGGGTATAGAGCCTAAATGGCAATACATACGCAGCACGTGAGTTTCAAGTTTGCGGAATATCATTTTCACCGTAAAAAAGCATTACCTGCATAATTGCATTTGCGGTCACATTTGAGAATGGTGTTTTCCTGCTAATGTAATATTTGCGCTTATAGCCTACTGCCATATGCGTATTTGCTGCGCTTATATATTGTGGAGAAATAGCCTAATCATTTATCAACATTTTAAGCTAAATGTTCTGATCTGTTGTGTCAGCCACATTGCATAAAATAGCTTTTTTCATGCTAGTTGTTGGATTAATTTGGGATCCATCCCATCCCACAACTGTCCCAGACTATGTTTGGAATATTTCTTTCTCGCACAGAATAGGTCAACCTTTGTACTATGGAGGATAGTAGATTGACATAGGCTAGTGCTTTTTCTGTTCGTTAGACCTACTCATCTTGTTGGCTGACGAAAAGTAAATGTGCACAGTTCTTCCAATATCTTCAATTTGAGTCTTGGAATTGGATACGGCCGTGCACAGTTGCGTCCCGGATGTGTCCGTCTTCACTTGTAGCCTGTGCGAAAGACCCGATCACGTGACGGAGAGCCATTTGAGTGAGATGTGCTTTGGAGCATGCAGCCGGGAGAAAGGAATTATAATTATTATATTCAGCCTAAGGGCACAATGGCCACAAAAGTCATGGAGGTTTTTAGAGGGCATTATCAAGTTCTTGTCAAATTGTGAATGAGAGACTGATGAAGTGTGTACAGCCTGCGCAAAAAACAAAGCAGAGCTCATGACTCATGAATACTAAGCAAATCTTGTCTGCTAAATTACATTTACATTTTAGTCATTTAGCAGACGCTCTTATCCAGAGCGACTTACAGTTAAGTGAGTGCATACTAGTGTAGCCCACAGCCATATGGCCATATGGCATAGCCAGATCAGGACCTAACATAAGGACAACTCAGAGTATGCTATTCGGTTCTTCTGAAATAAACTACATTTTCTTCATATCATGTTTCTTTAGACCTGTCTAAAATAAGTAATGGATTTATTGTGATGGTGTAGGCTATATTACATGGATTTATTATATACTACTATAATGTAGATGCTCCAAAGGTCTGCGTCAGTGCCTTGTAGGCTATGCATGGAAGCCAGGAGATGCTAAATGTGTTTACCGGTCAATTATCGTGAGACCGGCAGTTATTTGATTGACAATCACCGGCTGACAAAATTTCATGACCGCCACAGCCCTATGTGCCACCACAGCTGTATAGTACAAACATTATGGGCAAATGCAGTATAGTGCAGATTAGTATTTCAGGTCATTGATGACAAGGTGCAGTAATCAGTCCAATGCAAAGTCACTTAAGCCCTATGAGCTTGATGGCCGGTTGACGAGGGCCACAGCATGGGGGAAGAAAATGTTCAGGTGGCGGACCTAAACCGTCTGCCAGAGTGTAGTCTTTGAAAGACAGAGTGATTGAAGGATGTAGTGAAGGCCCATGTTGATGCCATCGTCCACAGATCTATTGGCTCTGTAGGCCAACGACGACGAAAAGTCCTACTACCATGGGAAGGTTTTGAGATGGGACAGAACCAGGTGTTCAAAGCTTTTCATGATGACGAGGTGGGCGCTACAGGTCTGTAGTCATGCAGGTCGGTCGCCTTTTGTTTTTTCTTGCCAACAGCATTACGTCATACTACACGTGAAGAGCGTGAAAAGTTAACGGCTATACGTAGTGTTCTTTTGGCCAAATGGGCCAAAGTGCTAGATTGCATGTGGGAAATAAGTCCATGCACAACCGTGTCTTATTCCTTTTGAAAACGTAATATGTAGCAATATACCCAGTCAATGGTTCATTGTGCATTATCGCTGATGCACATATAGCTGTAAGTAGAGTACTTCATTGTAAGCCCACAGATGACAGAAGACAGCTGTGCTCACAAACTTTGCCAAAGCTCACCACAGATCCTGCCAGTTCTCTTTGTGGCCAGATCTCAAATTGGCTGACTGAGGTCATATTATCAAAACAAGAGGTTCATGCCAACTGGTTGGTTTCCAGGTGTCATTCAGCTGCTGACTTACACCAGGACTACTTCCAGGTCACTCATAGACATGGACACTGCCAACAAGTGGGTGGCCTGCAGAACCAGAAATGAACTTACATGTCTCCAATACCAGAAACTGCTAGGATCACTGTTATGGTTGTACATTTCCAGACACTGAAAAAACAGGCAATTTTGGGAAATAGAAACCTTGGCATTTTGGGAAATGTTTGGAATTGTATAACCCTAATCTTTGGTACATGGTGTGAATACTGGGGATCAAGGGGTCAGTATGTGGTTTATTACCAGTCTCTGCATGGGTCTTCTTCTGCTCTAGGTTGGTAGTGATGTCGTGGACATCCACGTAGGCCCGAACTAGTCGCCATAAGAACGTAGTGTTCTGTCCAAACTGTGAAAGAAAAGAGAAGTGTCTGTGTCAATAAACTTCACATATTGACCTTCATTTGGAGGCAAGCTTCACCGAGGAGCTCTAGTGCTCAGACTTGGATTCAAATAGTATTCGTTTTGTGTCTTTTGGAACTATTCCATTGGTTGCATTGCAAAAAAATATAGATTTCTTCTATGCAATATTCCCTCTAACTATTGTCTACATTGAGCAAATTTCAGGTCTTGTGAGCGGAAAGTTGAACGTTGTGAGAATTCTGTGCAACGTCCACCATGCGTTTACTGTGAACACTGAGGCTGTACCCTTTTAAGTTACAGTTTCAGGCAGTGGCCAATAAGCTAAGGTGGCTATTTGAGCATTATTTAGATCTATCAGAGTGGCCTTCCAACAAAATCAATGGAGCAAATGAATCCAATAACATTTCCACATGGAAATAGCTTTTGATTTCTATGATATAGCCTTGATCTTAACCTTTTTAGCCACTTGTCCTTTGACAAGTAGGAGAGATTTTCTACTTGGTCTGTAACAACATGGGCCAAATAGGTGACTGGAGAATGTATTGTATTGTATTGTGTTGTATGATGCAAGAAACCACTTTACAAAATAAAAGTCAATATTATTACCATACAGAGAATCAGAGAAGAATGTAGGCTACCCTCTGCCTATTTGCTTCTTTACATTTTCAAGCCTGTACCACAACACAACACAGCCCCTTTAAGACATATAAAAGCTATTTACCTGACTTGCTTTTCAAAGACAGCTAGAAATGTACAAGTGGTGTGCTCTTGTAGGAAGCAGTCACTCCCCCATTGCTGACCAATAATTTGCTATAGCCTACCTGGGCAAATAACTTGCTAACTAGCAAAGAATAACAACAAATGTGCATGTGGCTCTGCACTTTGACCTGAAAAGCGCATCCACTCGCAACCTCGGGTAATGGAAAGATGGCTCGTAGGCTACCTATCAATATAATTTTACTCTGTTGCCTACAGCAAAGTCACCCAACTCAATCTTGCAAAGTAAGATTTGTTTTGGTTGTTACATTTAAATATTCAGTAAAGTTTAAATATTGTGCGTCTCTGGCTGCGCGGGCTGGCATTTCTTCTGCGCGGCAGTCCTGGACATTGCTTCTAGGCCTAGGACATCCAAACCAAAGACTATGACTGTTGGTTGAAGTGGCCCACCTCTGTTCTCTTATCCAGCATGGTGCGGAGGCACTCCCTCTTGTCTCCATCCGTGCCATTGTGTAGAGCGTCCACCCTCTCCAGGAGGGCTGAGAACTCGTCCAGAGGCTCGATCACTGTCACTTCCTCCTGACTCTCATCAACCTCACTCTTCTCTTCTTCCTCAGAGTCTGTCAGAGCCGTAATGTACCTGAAACACATGGGGAAGCATTCATTAGCACCACAGCCTATATTCTCAGTTTCCTAGGCATGTGTTTTCATAGTTAACTTAAGTGGGAGGAAGATAAACTGAAAGTGTGGATGGTTAAAACGGAGAGGAATCCCTCTGGTAATGACTCAGAGCGTGAGTCTTAGTTAATAAGTGCCTTTAATTACCCCCTCTCTGCCAGATGCTGTCAATAACAGATTAACATTAACTGCTGGTTTACACGCAAACAGCAACACGTTTGTTTACACAAGTGGGTTACTTAATTGTGTATAAACGCTGGCTAGCAGTTAAGAAGTCTTGACGTCATACCACGGATACCTGAAGGGTTTCCGGTACCAAACACAGAGAGACTTGTTTGTCTCGGTCATGACGTGGCACATAATGTGCCTGAATAATCCCCGGTTTACCGCTTTCAAAAAAGTTCCCTTTCAATTACTGTAAGTACATACTAACACCCTCAGCTAACACTTGAGTAGAGGAGATGAAAAAGCTGTGTATTAATGACATAGTCAGGTAGAAATGAAAAGAAATGGAGGACTGAAAGTGAAAATGTTACAACATTAAAGGCCTCCATTAAGTGCAGGCAACAGCTACATCTGCGTCATCTGTGGTTAAGGAAACGTTTGAATCTGCGAGCAATGGTTCTGGGCTTGGGGGAGGTGTGTTGGAGCTGGCCGCTGACCGGCACATCGTGGGCCCACAACAGGTGCTGGAGGCCCCATCTTAGATCCCTCCCACCCCACACAACTTACCTCAGGCCCGAATAGCTGATTCTTTAAGATGCACTATACAGAAATCACTCCGACATTTCCTGGTTGCAATTTTTAGTTAGTTTGCCTAATTTCAGTTTATGTGACAAAACAAGCAAGCATAGTGTAGAGAATCATTGTACCGTCTAAACCGGTGTGAAAAATATTTCCCTTACCCAAAAATATTGTAATTTCAGCTGTTTGAAGCTGGTGTATAAACCGAAAGTAAAAAACAAAACTTAATAACGGGAAGCATAGAAAGTGCACATAGAGCATATCTACGGCTTCTTAGAATTGCTTTCATTGAGAATGACAGATCTTTAACTCACATTTCTATGTGAATTTGGTACATATTGCAGCTTTAAGTCTGTGCCAGATGAGCCAAAAGTACAGTATGTGTTTGCAGGAAAACAGCAACACTGCTTCTCCAAAGGGCAGGCAGTAAAATCCAATGACATTGTAACATCATGACTAAGCAATGATGGAATGCTTCGGTCTCCTACTTAGGCTGCCTATACCAACCTTGTCAGAGACCGCCTACCCAATGCCTAAGAAAAGTTCAGAAGAAAATCCAACATCTAAAACTTCAGGGATAGTGTGTCACTAGTTGTCTTGAAATAGACAACCAAAAGTCTATGCAAAGCAAGAATATCATGGCTGTAGGCCTATTGGCCTATTTTCCCCATTTTCCAATCTAATTGGACCACTCAGTAAAAATGGAAACGCACCCAGTCATGCTTTATGTAGGGATTATGCTGCTGTCAATCTCTCCTCTGCCATTTGTGTGGCCAACGGGCCCAGCATGTTAGCTCAGACTCCCCCTGCTTGTTGCTTTAATGCCTCCATTTGCTCGAGAACACAGCTCTTAATCTGTCCACACACACCACTCAGCATAAGAAAGCAAACAAACTGCGGCCCTAGCCAAGAATCTGGCCCATTCACTTACTCATACAACACACAGTGAAAAGCCCGACAGTGTTTCACTACATGACATTAATTCTAAAAGAAATAATCTTGTATTTAACAAGTCTTACCCAATTTGGGTAACACAACATGTTAATCATTTAATTAAAAAATGTCAAACAAAAATGGGGGGGCAACAAACAAAGAGGGTACAGGTCACTGGCCATTGGTGTTCCTGAGATCTGGAGCTGTTGCCTTGTTTACAAACCCAGGTTCCTAATCCCGTCTCTGCACAGTGACCTCAGAGTAAGCTCCAAACCTAAAGGCTGCTGCTGAACCCATTTACAGTGCATTCGGAAAGTATTCAGACCCCTTGACTTTTTCCACATTTTGTTACGTTACAGCCTTATTCCAAAATGGATTAAGATGTCTCAATCTACACACAATACCCCATAATGACGAAGTGAACAGGTTTTTAGAAATTTTAGCAAATTAATAAAAAATAAAAAATGTTATTTACATAAGTATTCAGACCCTTTGCTATGAGACTCGAAATTGAGCTCAGGTTCATTCTGTTTCCATTGATCATCCTTGAGATGTTTCTACAACTTGATTGGAGTCCACCTGTGGTAAATTCAATTGATTGGACATGATTTGGAAAGGCACACACCTGTCTATATAAGGTCCCACAGTTGCCAGTGCATGTCAGAGAAAAAAACATGCCTTGAGGTCGAAGGAATTGTCCATAGAGCATCGAGACAGGATTGTGTCGATGCACAGATCTGGGGAAGGGTACCCAAGAACAAAGTGGCCTCCATCATTCTTAAATGGAAGAAGTTTGGAACCACCAAGACTCTTCCTAGAGCTGGCTGCCCGGCCAAACTGAGCAATCAGGGGAGAAGCGCCTTGGTCAGGGAGGTGACCAAGAACCCGATGGTCACTCTGACAGAGCTCCAGAGTTCCTCTGTGTGGAGATGGGAGAACCTTCCAGAAGGACAACCATCTCTGCAGCACCACCAATCAGGCCTTTATGGTAGAGTGGCCAGATGGAAACAACTCCTCAGTAAAAGGCACGATAACCCGCTTGGAGTTTGCCAAAAGGCACCTAAAGGACTCTCAGACCATGAGAAACAAGATTCTCTGGTCTGATGAAACCAAGATTGAACTCTTTGGCCTGAATGCCAAGCGTCACGTCTGGACGCACCAACAGGACAACGACCCTAAGCACACAGCCAAGACAACGCAGGAGTGGCTTCGGGACAAGTCTCTGAATGTTCTTGAGTGGCCCAGCCAGAGCCCGGACTTGAACCCGATCGAACATCTCTGGAGAGACCTGAAAATAGCTGTGCAGCCACACTCCCCATTCAACCTGACAGAGCTTGAGAGGACCTGCAGAGAAGAATGGGAGAAACTCCTCAAATACAGGTGTCTGTTCTTTATGTTGATTATTTATTATTACATGCGCGATGCACGTATATAGCCTACAGACAGAGAGTCTGGCAGAGAGAGCGTGCAGCTATCAAACAGCTGGTTGTTGCGTGGAGCAAAGACCGACAGCGGTAGAGGTAGGAAAGCAGTAAGAAATATGTTCAAAGTTATATCTACCAGTAAATGCTAAGTTAAGAATGGGTACGCAAACCAGGTATTTAAAAAGTTCAAAGTCTTAGTTGAATATTTGCGATGCACAATTCAGTCATCATGGAATAGCCTACCTTGATAATCATACATTTCCTCTAGGCTCTTTGGTCCTTAAAAAGGCATTGTAGCTTATTTATAAGTTCTACTACTCCAATATACTTCTCTGTGATTTCATTTCTAATCAGTTTTTATGAGACATTTTCGCTTTGGTTTGTTTTCCGTTGCATCTGTTGCGGTAGTCTATTGCGCTTGTTGTGTAAAACTATGTGCGGATATTATGAACAAGACAACATCGAATGTTGGCTTCAACTTGGTTTTGCATTTAAAGCATTCCATTACATATTGAACCCGGTTTTTGGTCACTTTCTCATTTTAAAACATGATACAGTAACCCCTCAATAACTCTTCAACATCTAAAATGGCAAGACTGACTAGCTACCACATGGACAAACTTCATTAGTGTGTTTGTGTTGGGAGCATGTTGTCTATTTAGTCAGGTAATGCCATTATTCTGTCATTCATTTTTTGGGTATTTTACCCCCTTTTTCTCCCAATTTCAATTACGATCTTGTCTCATCGCTGCAACTCCCAAACGGGCTCGGGAGAGGCGAAGGTCGAGTCATGCGTCCTCCGAAACATGACCCGACAAACACCCGCCCGCATAACCCGGAAGCCAGCCGCACCAATGTGTCGGAGGAAACACTGTTCAACTGACGACCGAAGTCAGCCTGCAGGCGCCCGGCCCGCCACAAGGAGAGGCTAGAGCACGATGAGCCAAGTAAAGCCCCCCCCCGGCCAAACCCTCTCCTAACCCGGACTATGCTGAACCAATTGTGCGCCGCCCTATGGGACTTCCGGTCACGGCCAGTTGAAAGACAGCCTGGGATCGAACCCGGGCCTGTAGTGACGCCTCAAGAACTGCATCGATGCAGTGCCTTAGACCGCTGCGCCACTCAGGAGGCAATTCTGATTTTTTTAAATGTAAAGTGTTAATGCATACAGTGAGGGAAAAAAGTATTTGATCCTCTGCTGATTTTGTACGTTTGCCCACTGACAAAGAAATGATCAGTCTATAATTTTAATTGTAGGTTTATTTGAACAGTGAGAGACAGAATAACAACAACAAAATCCAGAAAAACGCATGTCAAAAATGTTATAAATTGATTTGCATTTTAATGAGGGAAATAAGTATTTGACCCCTTTGCAAAACATGACTTAGTACTTGGTGGCAAAACCCTTGTTGGCAATCACAGAGGTCAGACGTTTCTTGTAGTTGGCCACCAGGTTTGCACACATCTCAGTAGGGATTTTGTCCCACTCAATCTTCTCCAAGTCATTAAGGTTTCGAGGCTGACGTTTGGCAACTCAAACCTTCAGCTCCCTCCACAAATTATCTATGAGGTTAAGGTCTGGAGACTGGCTAGGCCACTCCAGGACCTTAATGTGCTTCTTCTTGAGCCACTCCTTTGCTGCCTTGGCCATGTGTTTTGGGTCATTGTCATGCTGGAATACCCATCCACGACACATTTTCAATGCCCTGGCTGAGGAAAGGAGGTTCTCACCCAAGATCTGTACATGTACATGGCCCCGTCCATCGTCCCTTTGATGCGGTGAAGTTGTCCTGTCCCCTTAGCAGAAAAACACCCCCAAAGCATAATGTTTCCACCTCCATGTTTGACGGTGGGGATGGTGTTCTTGGTGTC